TTAAATTTGTGCGTAGCAAGATATGGTAAGGCGCACATCGCCGAGGTAAAGAATACCGGCTGTGCAAAATAAGTCTGGTTGAGAGGGGATTTACGAGATGCTCGTAAACGGCCGAGTGATCGTGGTATCGTGGTCCCGTATGCGAGGTCCCCTCGTATGTACCTATTGGTGCCCCACTCCACGGTTCCCCGTGGGGCCCTATTGAACTCCCCTCTCGATCCAGCTGCTCCGTGATACCCTTCCCAACCGCCTCCACCTGATACTGCCGGCATTCTCCACCCGTTTCTATTCGTCTGATGATGTACCACACGGTTCCAGTGAGACTGTGCACGCGCACATTATGTAGAAAGCAAACAATTTGTTAAGCAATGTAGTGCTGCATGGCGCCGCGAACCGTGTGTAATGAAAGATAGATTATTCAGAGGGAACCCGGCAATTTATCATACGTATTTGCACAACGAGAGTGACTTGTAAAGTCGAGCAAGGACAGCATTTCTTATAAATAATAAATTCCATTGTAAAATTGGAAATACGGCTTTCTTCAATTTATTCCTACTATTGTTTTTCTTATAATTGTTTAAATACCGACTTCTGGTTAAAGCATTCTTTTGTAAAGTCACGTATAATAAATTGTTTCTTTTAATATTTCTCTTTCATATAAAATGTTCTATATATGTCAAGTTTTGTGTTTTTGACGTTTTAATTCAATAAGGATGTTACATACTTATTGGATAATATTGCAAATCAACATTTGTATTTAGGAGTTATTATTAATTATAATAACTTCTATTTTATACTTAATACATAGATTAATTATCATATTGTGATAAAAAAGATATTTTTATTTTACTTATTAATTAGAAAAATAAAACAAACATTTTCTGCGTGAAAATTCATATTTATATTTTTCTTATTCTTCATTAAAATTAAATATCAATTATAAAAATAATCAATATAATAAATTCATTATTATAATGAAAGTGTCAAATATTATAAATATACGAAACACTAACTATATCTAAAAAAAAGTATTTAAATTATTGTTCTTAGTATTCTTTGTTACATAACATAAATAAACATTTACGTTAAACTTAAATTAAAACAAAATTAATTTTTTAGAATGAATAATAACGGCAATGATAAGGAAAAATTTTCAGCTCTTCTAAAAATATTAGCTTTTTAATTTTCCATAAATAACCAAAATTCATTATTTAAAATACACATTCAACACATTATATTGTATAAAAAAAACACGTATGTTTTAAGAAAATATTATATTTTTTATATTTTAATTTAATTACAATTTAATTAATTTCACATCTAAGTTTAATCATAAAGGATAACTCATGAACATAAATTTCTTACTTTATATTATACGTTGAGCTAGGTGTATGGTGGATATTTATTAAAATTTTCATAAATATATAATTTTTGTTCATATTGAATAATAATTTAGAAGTATCAAATAATAAGTATTATCACATTTAATGTACTTATGACAACGAATAAATAAATGAGATTAAATTATTAAATGATATAAAATTTCATAGTACCTTCTAAAACTAAATTGAATGATCTATATATATCTCTTACGTTAAATTGTCAATGTAATTTTATTTAGAAAATTTTTAATAAAAATACGATAAAGACAATTGCACTGCAGTGATTATTTAGATGATAATTATTTATTTATCATTATATATTTAGATATAATTTTTAAGAATGTGACATATATTAATGTAAATCAAATTACCTCTTCATTAAATCGAAATTAAAATTAAAATTAGAATAAGACGTATTTGAAAGCGTGCAATACGTCGTTTAGCATATTGAAAAAATAGTTGTTGATATTTTTGAATAAAACATTATATATTCTATAATTTTTAAAAACAGTATAAATACAAAATATGTAAATATAATATAATTACTGTAGATAATATGTCTATTCACATTTTTCACCTATATTTCATACAATATGAACATGAATATTATATTATTACATAAACAGAACTATTTTTAACTTTTATTGTGTGCATATTATTTTTTTTTTCACAGTAATAATTTGATTAAGAATAGAGCAAAATATACCTATGAAATGTTTAGATGATTATAGTATATATATTTGTATTAAATTTAATCAATCGTTGAAATATGAATGTATTTAATAAAGAGAAATAACTTGTAGATTTTATTTGTGTTTGTCTGCATAATTGGTATATCGATAGTATTTTAATGAAAAAAATTTAATAAAGATAATATCAGCATTTAAACGTTATACCTGACATTTGACTAATAGATATTCGTTTGTGATCTTGCATCTACCAATGAACGTAGCAAAAAATACCGTTACTACCGGCTTCAGTACCTTACGATAGAACGCGCGATGTTTTCTTCTCGTCCCCGCTCAATGAAATTACAATTAATAATGACGTCCGTATATGTATGTGATTGAAAAATTGAATTATAATGAATTATAACTATTATTATCTCATTTATAGATAAATTTTTAACGACAATTTTCATGTAAAATGATTGTCGATCATAGAGAAATACGATATCCAAAGTCATTCATCACGTCACATTCATTCATTCCTACCAATTGCTGCTTGATCGAGCTACTTTAGAGCGCGTTCGACGCGTATCGCTTTTAGTATTGGTTACTGATTTCAGTCGTGTATGAAGCAGATGAAAACGGGTTTGCTAAGAACTCCAGGAGAGCTCATGGATTTTCTCAGGAAAATCAAACATCAATTCCGTTAGTCGTTTAATTGCCAATACATAAATGCCTAAGCCATTGACTTTTGTTTTATATATAAACACACACTTATAGGAATGAATTAATTTTCAATTTGTGAAAAATCGGAAGGTTCTTAGCAAATCAGTATCATTTTCATTTTTTTTTTTAATATTACAAGCTAAATGTACTAATATTTATCGCTTTAGGAATTTGTACAATTTTCGTGAGCTTTAAAAATCTGAAAAAAACTGGTCATTATATCATTGTAAAAATTAAAAGAATTTTCAATGAATAACAGTTCGATGCACAAATGGTGTACATTACAATTCCCGTTATTCTTTATCGTTTAAAGTCTATTGATTCTTTTATGAATTAAAAGATAATCAAATTCATATATATAATATTGTGTTAATAATTTAATATATAATACAGTACGATTAAATAATATCATATTTATTTATTTATTAAAACATTTTTATTTATTATGCAAAAATGTTTGCTTTGCAAGTCATAAATTAAATAATTTTTATTACAATAAAAATAGTGTCATTTAGTTTTTAGAATTTTATTTAAAATGAACTTAATTAAGATTATACATTTATAATTTATAGCGAAAATTATCGATAAATTGACAAACAAATATATTTATTATAGCAATTCAATTTCAGAATGTTAATTTATGTCTTATATAATTATTAGTTTTCAATTCATGAAATTAAAGTCTATAATATAAATCATTGCGACAGATAAAATTCATTTTCACGTATCATCAGCAATATGTTAAATAGTCTCCTTGCTAGCATAACCGATGATAAAGTGTATTGTTAACGGAAGTAAGTAGAGGTGATTTTTATGATTAAAAAACAAAAAAACGTGAGATCCTAATTGCTACCTTAATAGATATCGTTGAGAGTCAAGGCATCGAGACTTCTTTTAGATGTCCGCTGTATTAAATGTTTTTCGTGTATGCCGTGCATTATTTGTATTCTAAATAAGTTTTCTATTTGTAAATGTCTTGAGGGTGCGGGTGAACAAACGATGTTCACGTGGCGATGGTTCGAATTCCTATTTTTTTTCTCGGCGGTACCCTCTACATAGAGCTTATATAATAATTATTTTCGTATTAAAATTATTGATCTTTATTTTGTTGAATAACAAAAAGGCATCGTACCAACGTACTAGCTACGACAATATGATGTAAAATATAAGCTAGTGAGTTTGTAAAGATATATTCTCGATCCCTGGAATTTATGCTGATTAAAACAATTCAGAGATGGAACTCGAGACGAGAATTTTTGAAGGATTTCTTGCTTTCATTCAAATGTTGCGCATGATCGGGCATCGATATAATTTTTATTTAAATTGAAGGAAGTGTAAAATTTATCTTATTGAATAATTGTTAATTAATAATTTGATTAGAATTAACGAAACGAGATCCAAAACATTTTTTTTTCACTCGTAAATTATATACTTTTTTTTAAAACGGATATTTATAATAAATGTATAAGCCTTTTAGAACTTTAAAATTGAGTATAAAATTTATGAGTTAACAGTGTTAATAAAGTCAGGTAAATATTTTCAAATGTGATATATACACGATGCCGCTGTCCGTCATTATCGTAAAAGTCTATTGTAACACTATCTTTGCATTTCATGTATTTAGAGTTACAAAAGAATAAAAGAATCTCAATGCGTATATAATAGTTTCTTTAATGACTTGTGCCATTACTTGCTAGCATTTAAGAACAAATACATTGAGAAGAAATCAATAATTGCGCAAGGAATGACAATTATTCGCTTCGCCATGCATCATGAACAACATATTGTAAGACAATGAATCATCGATTAAGTCATAATATGAGATTTACAAAAATAAAGCCATATATATTATATATTTTTGTTAATAAATTTCAAAATCGCTCGATACGATTAGTAAAATGAATTATCATTTTCAGAAGAACTATTAATTAATAATTTATTTTATTAAAATATTTTTAAATTATTCGACAGAATTTAAAAACATACTTCATCCATTTATGACAAATTAGGATTCTTGCAATACCAGTATAAAATGTATTCACATTTTATACTAATTAGCATATTTATTCTACTACGAAGTTATTCTAGTTATTACGATGGTTTAAATAGCTTACAGTGAAAAATGCAAAAATTATAGTGTAATGTACACTTTGAAATTCCAATATAGAGTTATATCGTTTCTCGACATGTTCGAGGAGCACAAGCATCTTATATATAAGCTCACCCTTATTTCTGCGCCACTGCTTGTAGAGAAGCGCAGCGATACCAATGAGCAAAGAGGTTGTGAGGAAGGTTCCGATGACGGCACCGGCTATACTCCCTGGACCGTAGCACATCTCCAGTTCCTCCATCTTCCCTTATCTCCCTACGAATGGTAAAGTACCTCGTAATCGTGAGACCGAGATGATGGAATTTATTTGTTTGTAAAAGCGGACGGCGCTACATTACACGCACATTGCACTAAAGCGCATTTTTGCGCACACATTCCTCACATCGTTCGAACGTCCCGCCCGTCACGACGAGATGGCCGGGCGCGCTTACAAAATGGCGGCTTCAGCGATCTTCGCGGGATATTCTGCCGGCCGCTCGCATTCTTGCTTACCACCTTCTGCTCTCTCTACCTGTAGCTTGTGTCGACAGGAGGACAACAAGCGCGCACACCTCGATGCTCGCCACAGCACTGGAGTTGGTCTCACTATGCCAGGCCCCGTGAACCGCCGAAGAAGGAGAAGCCGAGCCGCCGCGCAGGTAACGCGAGAGAGAGAGAGAGAGTGAGAGAGAGTGAAGAGAGAGAATGCGCAGGGAGTGAAGAGAGAGAGAGAGAGAGAGAGAGAGAGAGGCGGCTTAATACGCGCGCGGTAACGGCGACAACGACGACGACGACGACAACGACACACTCAATCACTGTCTGAGGACAGGTGGGATATTTGTAAAGTAGTAAATCTGTGTTCAGAAATGATACTCTTGAGCTACGAAACCACATGCAAGTGTATGTGCACTGTGTGTCGAAAGATTGTTAAAATATACATATTTTGGCGTCATGGAATATGACCGTCCAAAATGCAGTCTATGATTGAAATAGTAATACACCATAAATTTCCAGGCTGTACTATAATCATCGATTTCTCGGCATTTCCACTAATATGTTTTGGACAAATGATCAGCTCGTAGGGGAGGACAACAACGGTTCAGATGTAAACGGAAGATTCTACCTGTTAGAAGGGATGTACTTACGTGTGTATGCGTATGCATTCGTATGCGCTTTCTTATTTACTATGCTGCAACGCGAGACTAATACAAAACTATCGTAGGCTTTGCTAGGGATTTTGTCGGACCTTTCTGGGTGTTTACATTTTTGTTATTCGAGCCGAACAAATAGTAAAAAATGCTTTTGAAATGTCTATGAAAATTATTAAATTAAAACATTGCCCTTCTCTGATTTCCATGTAATAAGTATATATATACACTCATATTTATTACACCAATTTTAGTTCATATTTTCAAAACGAATATGATACAGGTGTTGATATATATGATACGTTTGTTGAACTTTGATGAAAAAAGATCAGGACAAAATAAACATTTATTTGCCTTATAGATTTTTATAATTTTAGACAAAGAATAGTATTTTCAAAAAATGTAACTAACATTAACGATGGAATACTCATTTTAAAGTTAATGTAAAATAGTTTTTTCAATGTTTGCCCTAACTTATTTCGTTACAATTAATCGTCTTTATAAAATAATCTGTATAAAATAATGAAAACTATTATAATTAATTCTTTTTATGCATAGTTTAAATTCAATTAAGTAATTTAATACAATAAATAATACACAGTATTTATAAAATAAATATGTAGTTAATGTAGATTTATATTCTATTTTTCAGTACAATAGGTTTGAAAATTTCTTTATGTTTTTTTACTACTACTTCTATAAAATATACTTGAGCTTGAGAATACATTTCACATGAGAAATGATACAGTTAGATATATTGGTTTCTTAATGAATATAAAATCTTTTAAATTAATCAATTATTATTTTCAACGCGCCATTTTATTACTTTTTATAAAGTCATTATATTCTATTCTATTATATTGAAAATTATGTTATATTTCTCTTAAACAGATTTTTCGTAATTATTGCACATAAAAAGGCAGTTACTCTATAATATCAATTAGGATTATTTATAAAGTAATTATGTAAAGCTCAACTTTTTTTTTTAATAAAGATATTAGTATTGTATATTATACTTTTTTCCTCTTAAGTGCTTAAATTATTTATGAATAAGAGCATAAATATATTTTATTAAGAAATATTATTGGAATGATTTTAAATAAAAGAAATAAAAAATTTTAATTTGATGCGTTTTTTTAACTAATACATTTTCTTTTGTCTGGGCTTGTTAGTAATTACAATTTCGTTGATCCGATCTTAGTGTACTCTATATTGTAGCATGTATAATGTTAAATATTCTATATATATATATATATATTGATACACATTAATAGTTTTAATACATTATAAAAATATAAATAAATTAATATAATCTGTTTGAAATACTTTATAAAAGAAATTAATATTTAATTAGCAGGGGCTTATATACAATTTTTTATAATTTATATAACAGTATTTGTACAAGTATTGACGACGAATTTTTTAATTGCATTTAGGATATCAAAAGTATAATAAACATTTACCTTTAGAAATATTTTTTTTATATATATAATTTATTTATTTTGTAAAAATTAAACAGTATATATCATTGTAAAGTGTGAGAAAAGATTATTTTAATAAAAACTTTATTAAATTGATATTGACAGCAAAAATGAAATTATTTAAATTCCAATATTATTGTTTCCATTTTCCGATTATTCACGTGTATTATAAATTTATCTATTTTATAATTTGTTTTATATTTTATAACTTTAGTTATTATATAACATCTAAGATATTTACAATCTCGTTCTGTTTGCATTAAATACAGTATTAAATTGCGTTTTAGTGTTTTTTCACAAAATATTCTGTTTTCGTGAGAACATTCCATAGATTGTGTGCGTACAGAAAGCGATTAATTTCTTTTGGACAGTAATTCTGAATGCAGTTAAAATTGATTTCAGTAACAAGCACTAAAACCTTTATTATTCTAAACTTAAAAAAAATTTCTATGCAGCCCTTGAACCCTTTCCTCTTTTTGGATCTTCAAAAACCTTTGACGAATAATAGAATCACGGGAAGCCGTAGATGAATTCAAATGGCATAGGAGAGGATGTAGTGTACATAAACGAGTACGTGATACAATCAATAAGGAATTGCGTTAAATTATACCCTGTGAGTTGTGTCTTGCGTTCCAGCGACTTAGATTGCACGTCGTCTAGTTTTCCTGAACCTGAGGAGTTATCTTCCTGTCCAAGGTGTTTCCCGCATTCTACGTAGGGCATGAAGTTTTGATGACGGAGCAACGAGTCCGATTGCGGATGACAAAATAAAGAATAAAGAAGAAGCCTCATCTCGACACGACGAGACGATTATAATATATTAGGCAATACCTAGGCAGCCTCGGTAATATACTGGAAGATGGAATTACAAGGCATTAAGGTCTCTTTATTTTCAGCTCGTGCTTGCTTGAGATACTTCACAGAATATAAGAAGGTTGAAGGAAAATGTGGGAAAATTAAGCGACTATTAAGGGCTAATTAATTCATTGGATTCTTAGGTCCTTGTAATGTGTTGTGCTGATGGCTAGTAAAGGTGTGTCTCGAATATGACGTGTTGCCAGTTTCATGTAATTAATAAGATGTGATTTCATAATTCATGGGATTGGATTAGCTTGGCTTACTTTGACATTGTTGTTAACAACAAGCTTCTCATTTTTATTAACATTATACTTAAATCAATGGTTTTTAATCCTTTTTATTCTTCTTCTCTTGAATGTGTTTAGTTCTATTTGCTCCTGCGAGAAAATAGCATTGAATGAGATATCATATGGTGTCATGATAAGTCTTAATTTAAAGTAAAATCCGATTGGAATTAAGTATACGAGTTCGATATGCACTCTTAATCATGTTTCAAGGAGGCTGCCAGTTAAATATATATATATACATTACACGCCGGTTATATTCAGTCAATGATTTTATACAGCTCATTAGAATTTATGTATCAATGCGTTTTCATAAATTTTTTGCGAACTTTAATCGAAAATAGATAATATTTACTGTGTTTGATAACAATTATTATTTGCATTATAAATGTATGCTTTTATAATATATAGTTATAATGAAGATAATTCCTTATTTAAGTTTATTTAATTTTTTTAGTCTGTAAATGTATTAAATATCAATTATTTTATGTTTGATATGTTTGATGTATTACGGAATATTTAAATTAGACATCTCTAAACAGTAATTTTCTATTGAATAATAATTATATATAGATAAACTATTTCTTTATTCAAGAAATATAATTGTTTTAGTATTTAAATAATTTATTTTTTACGATGGAAACTAATCTTAAAAAATATTTAAACAAATAATAAAAATAATAAGAAATTACATTTTTTTAAAAAAATATAAGATATGCAGAATTAAAAATAAAAATTGAAGTTATTCTAAAGCTGTCTAAATACATAGTTTTTAAAAATTATCATTATCAATATAAATACGTGTAATATTAAGTCTTAAGTTAGCTTGTAAAAAATTCTATAAATGTTATGTAATCCGATACAATATTATATTATTTAGTTTTCTACTCTTTAACTTTCTCAAAGTTAATTTTTTAATATCATTTTTATTTTGTTAAATACAAATTGTTGTTTAGTAAAGGCAAAATGCCATAGTATAATGTATGGATGATATGAATATTTTCTGAATATTTTTTTAAGCTGTACAATTGTTTACTTTTAAATATTGTATTAGACAAATTATATTCTACTTGAAATTTGGATAAATTTACAAAATAACTATAAAAGTTAAATTAAGATAATATAGTTTAATGAGTAAGTAAAGTGTAAGAATTTTGAAGAATGTAATACAGAGGAAATAAGGTTTGTAATGAGTAAATCACTTATCTAATAAAAACTATTTTACACTGTTTAGTAAATAATTGTTTCACTTTATAAATTTTATATGTAAATCATTTATCTAATAAAAACTATTTTACACTGTTTAGTAAATAATTGTTTCACTTGATAAATTTTATACATTTTCATTTTATTATAATTTTTTTAGTTATAATCCCAATTCATTTAGTTAATAGAAAGTTATAATTGTTATAATAAATTGAAACAGATTAATATGATTATTTTTTTAAATGTACGCAATTGTTATGAAACACAAATGATGACAATTTGGACACAATTTAATGTGTACAATCAACCCGGAAAAACATTTTTTAGCATGGCTCAATTTTCATGACGCCAATACATTAAATAAATGTCAAAAGGTTTTACATTGAATCATTTCAATATAAGTTACATTTATTTTTATTATTGTTATTTCTTAGTTTAGAAAAAGTTTAGATCTATTATATAATATTTTATGCATAAATATAATTTCAATTTTTATTTTAACAGTCGATTGTTACTATTATTGTCAATTTTACAATATTTTAACGTGTGATCTAATAACTACTGTTTTTATATAAGAAATGAATTTTACTATGGAAACGACCATGTATAAAACTAGTAACATACAAAACTAATTATGAAATC